CCGCGCCGCCCCCGCGCGGAGCCCGCGGCCGGGAGCGCGGGGCGGTGTGCGGGGCGCGCCCGGCCCTCGGACACCCGGGGGCACCTCCCGGCAAGGCGCCGCTCCCGGACCCGTCGCAGCCTCGGGAGGCTTCAGCGGCTCCCCGAGCTCCCCGCACTGGGCTCCCTCCAGCAGCCCCCACCGAGCGCCCCCGGGGCAGAGTCCCGGGCGAGCCCGGCCGGCACCGAGTGTCCTCGGGGAGAGGGAGCCCCGGCCACAGCCCGAGCGTGCAGGTGTCGTGTGACCGTGGGGCAGGAGCACCCAGCACGGTCGAGGCTTGCCCGTGTATAGGCTCGTTGCACCACGCGTGTATTAGCGTATATATGTATAAACACACCCCTACATACCCAGATCTTACCTATACCTCTTCCAGTGGACCTGACCTAAACCATCATAGCTCTTAAATGCTGAAGCGGTAGGTTTATATCCACAACATAAAGTCTCCTTTTACATCCTCAGTGTTAGACATCCACAGTTTATACATCAGTATTGCATATTCCACGAGACCTGCAATAACTTCGAGGTTTCCTTGTGATTGTGTGTGGTGCTATTCCTGAAAAATGGATGCATTGTTTCACAGCTTCAATGATAGGAGCATCACACTCGCTGTATGTTCAAGCCACATATGTAATGTACTGCTTGCAGGTTCATTTTGAACTACTTGAAAGATGAAATGAGCTGTATAGTCCCAGTTCCTGGGGATTCCTTGAGATTAATCCAACGTTTTGCAGCATGCGCTTCTTACACGTGATAATATATGATTTCAGTATACACTGCTGTGACTGTATTTCAAAGTAACACTCCAAACTCAGTTATTAAATTATCAGATCTAATGAGGTAGTGCATGTCTTTCAGGCAACGTTATGGATCAATGAAGCACTTGTTTTTTTCCTGTATCTGTATAAAAGCTCTATGGAATTAATCCGTCCACTGAAATCAATATTGGTTCTGTAGTTCTTTGCCACAGAGGGTGCTGCTCTATTTGTGCCTAGTTCACAGTCTGCACTGTCTGAGTTAAAAAATGGTCCTTAGAAATTTCAGTTTACTTTTTTTCCCACCTAACGAAACCAGATATGTTGCACCAGGGAGAATTTTCTATGTAGGCAATGAATCATTTTCCTAGTATCAATTGAATAGGATTTTTCTTGGACAGTTCTTTGTAATTCCTCTGTTCAACATTCCCTTGAGACTCATCAGAGATTGGATTAGATGATTTTTAAAGGTTCCTTTCAACCCAAACCAGGCTGTGGTTCAATGGCTCTATATCTGGTGCTTAGCTGTGTTCGTTTTACAGCAATGATTTATGATCTTGAATGCAGAGCCAATGACATACGTTGTTCCTCGTTGTTCCTTAGTGACTTCAATAAATATGAAGTTGTGAATGAATGTTGCTATCAGAACAGCTTTCCCAGTGCTTAAAAATATCTGAGTTAAGTAGTATGAAGCGCCAGTAGTTTCTCATTATAATGTTCATGCCTAGGAGTGTTTAAATCATATTTTTTACAGAGCTTTGATTTATAGTACAAGCTATTTATATCTCTATATAGGTGATGTTGTAAAAATATGTGATCTTTAAATAATTTTACAAAAGAGGTGTGTAGGAATATTGGCCTAGACTTGAGCGCAAGCAGGTGAGAGCTGTGTGCTTCGGCCTCCCGCTCCAGCTCCCTGGCGAGCAGAACTGAGTCTCGGTTCCTCTGACTCCCAGCATCTTCTCCGCGAAGCCATATGCTGCAGATCCACTTCTCAGCACCAAAGGGAGAGAGCGTTTAGGAACTGGGGGAGCAGAACAGCGAGAACACGTTTAAGGAAATCTTAAAGAAAACGAAAATATGAATGGCTCAGAACGGTTTGGGTTGGAAAGGGATTTTAGCGATCGCCTAGTTCCACCCGCTGCCACGGCCAAGGACACCGCGAAAGCGCCTTACTCGGCGAACAGCGCGCTGGGCAATGCCGGCGTGCCGCGGCGCCACCCGAGCCCACCGCTCCTGCCGCCGTGTCCCTGTGCCCGGCCGGGCCACCGCGGCCAGGGGCTGCCGCTGCTGCTGCCGCTGCTGCCGCTGCCGCTGCCGGCGCTGCCGGCGCCGCCGGAGGGCAGCACAGCTCCACGCAAGCGGCGGCACCGGGGGCGGGAGCGGCGGGGGCTGCGCAGCGCTCGCCGGGGGGCACGATCCGGGCCGGGCAAACGCCGATTGCTCAGGTTGGCGGGCTGGATCCCGGCAGGACAGTGGCTTTGGCCTGTGACCGCGGTTATTGCCAGCAATAGGGAGGTCGCTGCTGTGAAGGCTACGGTGTTGTGCGTCCTCCGCTGCGTGTTTCTTCAGGCGCTCCCTTGTGATTCACACCCTGTTTGGATCCTCAGCCTCCTTGTCACGTTTTATAGGATACCTTGAATTTAGTATGTGAATCAGATGCATTCTATTAGGGTCAGGGAAATGTTTTGTTTGGTTGATTGTTCTCTGTGCTGGTGTGTAGCAAAATACCCACATGGCTATTCCATACAGTGATTTTCTTTCAAATTTGGGAGAAGTTTGCATGGTCCCTCTCTGACAGTTCTCCATCCTGTTTCATTAAATAATGTCACTTATTTGAAGTGATGAATGCATTTGAGGTCGATCATCCTCTGCATGGGACTGATACAATAGTGCAGGTAAATTGGGCTGTGATTTTTACCATGGTGCATGCTTGGGAGCTCACTGGGAAACACACACCAACCTCTCACTGTGTTAGAAAATGGCCTGTTTTGCCAGTAGCCAAAGGTGCATCTGTAATTGGTCAAGTCATGCCTTCTTCCAAAGAGTTACAGAGAGCTCATGAAGTTGTGTGGAGGTGTGACATGCTGTGGGAATTGGTGTGAGTAGGCTCTTCAGAGGTATTCCCTCTACCAAAACAATTCAGTTCCATCATCTGGGTAGCGAGGACTGCCTGTTGTCTTGAAATCTTTTACCTTTGGCCTCTTAGCTAAGATTCCATAAAAGGCAGCACTTGGAACAGTGACTTTTGTGATACAAATCCTTTTCCAATAGAGAGCAGTCTGAATTCATCAGTCATTCAAGGATCCCCTAATCATCAGCTAATACAGACTCAGTGACTCTCAGTGCAGAGACTGGATCTGAGCAAAGGGTGAAAGTCTGGTTTTCACTCCCTTCTTTACTGGTATCTCTAAAGACTGGAGTCAAGACTCTATTGAGCCCAGGTGAGACACACCCCAAGATCCCCAGTATGAAAGAAAGAGTCATGCACATGGTGGAGAAAGTCAAGCATCATGCACATGGTGGAGAAAGTCAAGCAAAGGACCAAGAAGACTGTTAAAGGACTGGAGTGTCTCTTCTATGAAGTTGAGGCAGAGAGAGCTGGGATTGTCCAGAGAGGAGAAGAAAAGGCTAAGGGGGATACTTATCCATGGATATAAATACCTGAGGGCAGGGGGCTGAAGAAGAGGGAGACAGATTTTGCTTAGTGCTACTGACTGACAGTAAGACCTTTGAAGAGGGAGCTGGGGTTGTTTAGCCTGGAGAAAAGGAGGCTCAAGGGAGACCTTATTGCTCTCTACAACTTCATGAAAGGAGGCTGTAGCCAAGCAGGTGTCGGCCTCTTCTCCCAAACAGTCAGTGAAAGGATGAGAGGAAATGGCTTCAAGCTGCACCAGGAAAAGTTCGGGTTGGACATCAGGAAGAATTTCTTCACAGAAGGAGTTGTTGAGTATTGGAATGAGGTTTTCAGGGAAGTGGTGGAGTCACTATTCCTGGGGGTGTTCAAGTAACGACTGGATGTGACATTTAGTGCCATTGTCTAATTGACAAGGTGGTGATCAAAGTTTGGACTTGATGTTCTTGGAAGTCTTTTCCAACCTAAAGGATTCTGTGACAGGAAAAGGTACAGTGGTCACAAATTAAAAGATATGATGTTCCATCTGAATACAAGAAAACACGTTTTTACTTTAAGGGTGGTCAAACATGGGACAGGTTGCCTAAAGAAGTTGTGAAGTCTCTGTCTGTGGAGACAAAACTTGAAGGTAAATGATCCTGGGAAACCCACTGTAACTGACCCTGTTTGAGCAGGAGGTTGGACCTCAGTAGTCT